CTCTCTCTCTCTCTCTCTCTCTCTCTCAAAATGTAGCAATCTCTTATCCAGGTCGAAGCTTGAGGACTTTGAACTCTGTAAAGTGCTCAGTCAGCTGGATGCAGCCAACTGGAATGCTGAACAAGGGACCACCACCCCAAAGAACACACAATGAAAAACATTCTCACATCGATTGAGGGAGGCTCTGACTAGGATATAGGGAAGTTGACTGCTAAACAAGGGAGCAATCACCCAAAAGCATACAAGCACTGGAAAGCACTCTTCAAAGCGTCGTAGCATATCACAGGAATTGCACATTCAGGCTGGACACTTTTTCTTCTTCCTGACCTGATGAAATGTGCCTGAGAGCCTCAGGGCACATTTCACAGTTTCACAGTTCCAGTTTAGAACTGGTTCTGTTGGTTTCTGTTTTTTCTGGTGGTGTTCAACGGGTTGTTGAGGTGTTTCTCTTCCCTCTGCTCACCATGCAGGTGCTTCTGCGTTTGACATTCTGTCTAGGTCTTCGCAGGCTCGGGGGGGTGGGGGTTAGAAGATGCTGTTTTGGAAAAGCGAATAAGAATGCAAAAACTTCGGGAAAGCAGACAAAATCATTAAAAAGAAAAAGGAAAAGCTTTTGAAAAGTGGCTAAGAATGGAAAAAACTTTGGAAAAGCGGATAAGAATTGAAAAACTTTGGAACAGTGAATGAGAATTGAAAAAACTTTGGAAAAGCGGATCAGATTGGAAAAACGTTGGGAAACCGGATGAGAGTGGGAAAAAAACTTTGGAAAAGCGCATAAGATCATAAGAATGATAAAAACTTTGTAAAAGCGTATAACATCATAAGAATGATAAAACTTTGTGAAAAAGCCTATAAGATCGTATAAGAATTATAAAAAACTTTGGGAAAGCACCGAACGCGTCTAGTTTTCCTAATCTGACCGGCAACTCACGTTCACAAACCTGTTCAGCTACGTCTTGTAGAAAGAGGATAAGATCATAAGACTGGAGAAAAAACTTTGGGAAAGTGGGTAAAGATCGTAAGAATGGTACAATTTTGGAAATTTTGATGAGATCCAAGAATGGACAAAACTTGGAAAGAGATGGAGGTACGAAGAGAAATAAAGTTAAAAAAAAAAACTAACTGTCTTTCGTTTTTCAAGTGGTGTGTTTATCATTTTGTAGAATTGGGGACATGCAGGGACTGTGTTTGAGCATTTAAACAAGATACCTACCAAGCAGCATGGAGCGGATTTCATGCGGGTTCGAGAATGGTAAGAAGATATTTCCCTAAAGCCTAATTGTCACCACCCCCTATTCTTTCAGAAGGTGGCTGCAGCAAATAGCAACCTGTACAAAAGGGGTCCTGATCTCAAGATTCTCAACCAAGAATCGAAAAAAAAAAAGGCCAATCCAGTCCAACAAACTGTCCCGAGTGTGAGTAATTCTGATCTTACAATAGATTTCCCAAGGCCCTAATAGTCACTCCATCTTATGTACGCCCCAAACCCCAAAGCCATGGCACTTTGAAATACCACCTGCTGTAGGGGTCGTCAGAGCGAAATTGATTTCCCACTTCTTTGAATTGAAAAGGTAGATTTCTATTTTCAAACATGCAAAATATACTCAAATTATGGAAACAAGTCAAAGAGATTGTTTGTATTCTCCTTTGGGGTTCGATATGCGGGTGGCATTTCAAAGTGCCGTGGCTTTGGGGCATACATAAGATGGATGAATGCAATCGCGTACACACCAAGAGCTAGTCCAAATCACCGACTCAATTCACAAGCAGCTGCTTTATTTTTGAAAGTCGTGTAAACCAAAAATGAATTAACAAGTATGATGCGAGACCTACTCCTTCCCATCCTAAAAACATTTGAATAAAGTTGTCCCCGGTAACTAACACAAGCATAAAATAAGTAATCAACTTACAGATAAATAGTTCATAAATTGAGGCAAAAAAGGATCCTCAGACATATAAGAGAGATTGAATAAATATGAGTATTATGAACCAAACTTCTGACAAAAGTGACCACAATTAACATAA